ACTTTCTTTTTATCGACAAGCACTTCGGAAAAATGCAAAGCACGTCCCGCACGGACAAAGCAATGTCGGTCATACTATAAACGCATTGGCACACACGCAAAGGCGGAACTATATTCCTAATCATACGGTCTATGGTTTCATTTTTTTCGGTATTGCGTTAATGCCAATATCCATTACCTGAATGATAATGACCGTTTATAGAAATTGAAACTGAAAAAGGTGCTTGACATTGTGCCGCTATTGATATTACGTTATTACAAAGGTGTATGTTCTGATGAAGTTTTCATCTTCAATTTTGCACCAAAAATAACGATTTCGTCGTTAGGTTTGAAAGAATATGAGGGATGGTAGGAATAATTTATTCATTACTTTGTGAACGATAGTCAAGTTTATATGACATGTCACCATGTATGACATGTCACATGTATCACTCTCTCTGTGTGGAAAGTTCTAAATACGGAGTAAGGGCATGTGCTTTTTTGTGGGTTACGGCAAAGGGTGTTCTGAAGGAAAAGGGTAAACACCGGCACTTCTTTTCGAAGCTGCTGAGATGAGCCTTGTTTCTCAAGGAATTGTGTTGGAGCCAATTGTGTTTAATTTGTATTTGAACAATCTTTTCCTTAATTAGAGAAAACAAAATCTGCGGACTGGTAGGACGTGGTCGAATGGAATTTGTAGTGTCAAACTTTTCGTCTGTTACTGCAGCAGATGTACTCAGTGGTCTCAATAATGACTGACTCAGTAGCAGTCTATGGTCGTCAGTGACACGATCATAGACTGCTGATAATAAACTCCCGTAAAACATTTTATATATTTATAAATGTCTTGGTATAACTCTAGATGGTCATATAAAATAGGATCATTATATAAACCATCCAGTATATTATATGAATTTAAAAGAATAACGACTTATCCTATTCCACCTAATAGAGTCTAAGCGGGTTGGCTGTCCTTATTCATCTTTCACTGCCTGAACCACTGTACATGCTGTTTTTTCGGCGAGTGCATTGGCTTGGGATGTGGGGGTTGAGCAAACCGGCCATCGGATGCATGCTTCCACGTAGCCCCGCTGGATTCGGAAATGACGTAATCACTTGTGGTNGTTATTAGAGTTCGGCAGAGCCGTACTCTCACCATCTGACCTGAAAGACCACTCACCATATGAACTAATCGGCTTCGTTGAGAAGCTGGGTTTGTTTGGCAGAGTGAGAATTGGTGTGAGCAACAATAAACCCTTGCGGGTTGCGGTGGAGGGTCGAATAGACCCTCTAGTATAATGGAATATGGAGTCTCATAATATTATCAGATGTGGCGGGACTGAAATTATTTGAAAATAATATATTATTAAATAACAAAGTGCCAAACTATTTATACATCAACGACGTCAATTTAAAAGTAGAATATTATTATAAAATGTTAGGTGTCATACTAAGTGCCCAATCTCTATTGGTTCAGTCAAGTGAATTTGCTGTGTATTTTTCTTTTACGGGTAGGCTTGTTACACACTCAGAGTGATGTATAGAAACCTAGAAACTGTCCCGTACGAAAATATTTACTATGCAATTTTTTATCATGTGGTACACTACTGCAAACGTTATTCTAGTACGACAAGAGATTTCAAATTTTCAGAAAACTAACTTTCGTGGATTGACGTATTCAAAATTTAAGGCTCATTGTTAGATTATGAGCTAGAATCTACTCACACACACACACACACACACACACAGAAAAATGGTCCAAATGAACTGTTTATTTAGCGTCAATAGCGTTGATACCAATAAAAAATAATCACAATATATAACACTCATGTGTCACATACAATTGTTTGAACTAACAAAGAAGATTAAACGTCTTATGCTTGATTATTCTTCATATCTTTAAATATTACTACTTTTCATCATGTTGTAGATAAGAAAGGATTTTCAAATATTCCAACTGGGCGCTACGCGCGAAAAAAAAGGGGCGTTAATAAAATAAAGTCACCTTTTCACCACTCTTTCCTCATACAGGTATATTTTCGGAGGCTGTAGGTGTTCCCTTCATGTCCTAGATGTGCAATAAGAAAAGATTTTTAAATATTCTAACTGGAGTGCCCCCACTGGGGATAAAAGGGAAGCGTTTACATATAAAAATTTCCTTTTCATCATTGTTTCTTCATACCGTTATATGTTCGAAGGCTGAAATTTTGTATATAGGTGTTCGCTTTATGTTGTAGATGTGCAATAAGAAAG